CCATTTTTCAGCTCCTCGTTAACAGACCGCTAAAGAAACAACACTAATGTATGCTCGCTTCAGTCACCTTTGAACTGTAGCATGAAATGCTTACCTGCTTGCTGCAATGATTAAGAAATAGACAACCCTAAATTTTCCGAGGACTGAATTGCTGTCAACGTGGAAGATTTACGTGCTTGGATCTCGCATAATTTAACTAGCATATATGCTGCATTTCCAAAGCTTAAAGTAAGAAATTTCGGCGGGATACAGTAATAAAAACTATATCTATAACCGTAGCAATCATCCGTTAAAACAAAAGTAGCGTGCTCTCCGTATGTTGAAGCGAACTTATTGCAGTAAACCGTCATCCAGGTACTTTCAATAAAGTTTCATATGAGTTTAATTAAAGCGCTTCTGCATCGCTGTGCGGACCACAGGCTAGAAATTCTAATGCTCGCCTAGGTTACTTAAACCAGAGGAGGTGCTGTCACACGGCGACGGTTTTGAATGATGAAAAATGTCAAGTTTAGGTACAGTTATTCAGCACCCTTGTCATTTGAAACTTGGTGGGGTCCAAATGTGGAGCTAAAATTTGCCTGAAAATTGCTTCTACCGGTGCATCAGTGTCTTTCAGAGAGTGGTCACACTGGCAGAGCAATGGAACGCAACGTGTGAAAGCGGTATTATAGTATGGGATTGCCTGCCATTCTCCTTCATACAAAACGGGTTATTGAAGCACCAGAGGTATGAAAAAGGCAAGATTAATAAAAGGCTGGTTTGGTGGGAAATTAGCGAATAGCGACGTTACACTGGGTATTCCGGTCCACTGAAATCTTTTACTGAGGAAAATCCAATCGAGATTGCTTTTTGAAGGATCACTCGATGCATATTTGGACTACATCTTCTATGCCATCCAAATGCGTGTCTTACGCTAATGGTGTTTATTCTCGTTCAAAAGCCAGACAGTGCTCTGGATGTGACGGCTGGATGCATATCGCTTGCTGTGGCATCAGTCCTGATCAGTATGAAGCGCTACAGTTGATGAATTCTCCAGCTATTGTTTTCGTTTGTGATGTCTGCCGTACTTCGTTAAACAACTGACGTATTTTGAATGGGCTCTCCTCGGTCAGCCCTCACCGCGTTCCAACGAAACGCAAAGCACCCGACACCCAGTACCCTGCGTACTCCTTAATCTCCCCTTCTTCCTCCGCACCAACATCAACCATAGGTAAACGTATTCGCGGGTACTCTGATTCTTTCTCCGAGCCATTGGCATACATTCAGCAAAGTGGGCACGAGACAAAGACATACACTTCGGTTGCAAATAAAAGTACCACCGCTCTCTGTTGTACACATCCCAGCTATGTATAAAGCCGACAAAGCCCAAGTCTAAACCCAAGCCTTCCTCCCCTCGGCCCTAGTTCAAATCTGTCCTAGACATGATTAGACATTTGGAATCGCTGATCAAAAACAGCGCAAATCCTTCCCAACCGCAGACCCTCCCGTGACCGATGTCTCAACATTATGAATGCGCCTGAATCGGCCAAAGATGCCCCAGCCGGAAGGATGTTAGACGACAAAGTGTTCCTAGAACGACTGATCTCTGCGTTATTCGACGAAGGCGAACAGGGAATCAACATTATCTCGACTCTCCGCTTAGGTAGGAAACTAGAAGATTCCCTGAAGACTCGCCCCCTTAGGGTTGTGTTCCAAGACGAGGAAGAAGGTCGACACTTTCTCCTGCGGACCTCAAGTCTCAAAGACAAGTCCCTTCATGTGTTGGAAGATCTCTCCCCGGAAGATCAGATCAAAGTGTAAATGGCTGTTGGTGAGCTGAGGACTCGTCGGGCGAGTGGTGAAACGGACCTTCATATCGTGGATTTGCGCGTAGATCAGAAACCTCCGAGAACCCGTTGGGGGCCGAGTTTTGTCACCTCAGGACAGTAACACAAAAGAACGGACTGCGTGTGCTGTTCGCTAATGTCCGTAGTCTCCGAAATAAACTTAATGAGATCCAGACGCTTGTCGCAGATGTTTGTCCTGATTTAACGGCCTTCACTGGAATATGGTTGTTCCCAAATATCATTGACTCTGAAGTGTCCATCCCTGGATATCACTTTTCTCGGGCCGATCGTCATGGGAGAAAGCCGGGAGGCGGCGTAATGCTCTACTGCAGGGCGGATCTGAAGTCCCATCTAGTTGAGGTCTTATGTGACAATTACAGCGATTTCGATGGCCTTTGGTGCCGCATTCAGGGCACGTGCAGAGCTTTCTTAATTGGTGTCGTCTACAGAACGCCACTGGGTGCTGGAGCTCGCCTGTTGGAACTGATCAAGAAGCACGGTGCTGGAAAGGATTGTTTTATTCTGGGAGCTTTCAATGCTCTTAATATCGACTGGGACCTTGTTCTTTGCAATCGTCCACCTGATCCCTCTGATGCCGCCTTCCTTTATACCGTTCTCGACTGCAGTCTGTATCAACCTGTCTCCATGACGACTCGTATTCTCGCTGGCCAGTCGCCTCATATCCTGGCTCTTGCGCTCTCCCCCACGGAGTCAGACGTCATGGACCTAACAGTCTTTCAACCCATTGGTAAAAGCGATCATTGTACTATTTTATTCCAATGGACTCGTCGTTTTACCATTCATAACCCATGTGGCGTCCGCCAAAATTTCTCGCGTGCTGATGTCTTTCGTCTTAAAACAGCAGCAGGTATTATGGATTGGTGTATTCGCGAACATCTCAATGTGGACGGTGTCAGAAAACTTTGTAATCCAAGTTGACACCACTCAGTGAACAAGTTGTCCCCATCTCCAAAAAGCCACCGCTATCTAGAGGTCCACGGTGGATCGATGGTGAATTGAGACCCCTAATGAACAGAAGACGTAAGTTGTGGGACCGCTTTAGGATCAACGACCAAAGCATGACTACATCGGTTACGAAACGGGTAGGAATACCTGCACCCTGAAAAAACGTGAGAAACGTCAACAATATGAACTCTCCCTAGCCACACTTTCTAAAAGGACTCCTAAGACGCTTTTCTCCTACCTCAATCGGAGCACTAGAGTGGGCAGTGGTATCCCTGCCCGGTGTTCGTCCGAGCATGGGGATCCAGTTCACGACGACAATGACAAAGCCAGCCTCCTGGTGCGGCCACACTCCTCAGTCTACGTTATATCAGCGTCGTTCTCTGACAGACCAAGGTGCACCTCTTTCTCTGTTAGAGCACGTCGATATAAACACCGAAGTCGTGTTGAGACTTCTCTGTGATCGCCTGGTCATGACAACTTGAACCTCTTGCTCCTCAAGGCTGTAACACAGCACATTGCTCCACCCATCACGCAGGTATTCCGTCGATCGTTTCAGTACGGACTTCTCCCGACCGCTTGGAAGATAGGCATCATCAAGCCTATATACAATGGAGGGAACCGACAAGACCCAGCTAGCTACCGGCCCATTTGCCTTACATGGACAGTGTGCAAAATCATGAAACGGGTCCTGAAAAGGGCGCTTAAGCTTCCTCTCGAGCGGTTGTATATGATATCCGGTGCCCAACATGGTTTTCGCAAAGCTCGCTCCTGCTTTACCAACTTGCTTATGGTAAGAGGAAAATGGGCGAATTCATCGGAGGTTGGCAAACGCCTTGCTGTTGTGTTCGTGGATTTCAATAAAGCTTTTGATAAGGTCCAGCATGAACAATTTCTCTACAAACTCCGATGAATTGGTGTCACTGGAAACTTTCTGTCGTGGATTTCCGATTGAATGCACAGTCGTTGCATGCTGGTGAGAGTGGGCGAAACGTATTCCGATCCTGTACGTATGATCAGCGGTGTCCCACAGGGCTCCGTCCTCGGACCCGAAAGCTTCAGCATCTCTTCAGCAACGATCTACCGTCTGAACTTCAGCCGGATTGCTTGATTTATGCGGATGATGTAGAGAAATGGAAGGAGATATCCTATCTAGAGGATACTAATCGACTACGAGTGACGCTCTATCTCCTGCACAATTGGTCGATTCAGTAGCGCTTACTCATTAACCAAAACAAATGTTTCGTTCTGCCTATCGGCGCTCCTGAACCACTCGGCGCTTACCACACAGGTGGTTTCTTGCGCAAAATGTCACTTCAGAGAGCGATCTGGGCTTGATTGTTCCCGTGACTTAGGATCCACTCAGGAAACCAGGAAGAGGGTTGCCGTTGTCTACAGGATGCTTCACGCCATCCGAAGAGATTTCTGCCGCTTGCCACAGGCATTTTTTAGACTTCTGTTCACCTCGCGTGTGCGCCCGATTCTGGAATACGGCATCCCTGCCGCCTACCAGCTTTCCGAATTTGGGCGCGACATGATCGTAAAGATCCAACGGCGTGGATTGAAGTTTGTCTCCTAGTTACGTGACCTGCCGTATCCTCTTCGGCTACAACACTTGAATAAGTTTTCTATGCATTACCGTCGCCGGCGTGGGGACTTGCTTTTTACCCGTCGTAACCTCAGGGGAGAGCTAGGGAGAGAGTTACAGGAATTCTTCCACCTCAACACTGGGAGTTCGACTAGAGGCCACCGATGGAAAATAATCAAACAACCGAGGGTCAAAGTACGGTAAATGCTTGCTCTATCCACTGGAGTTGAGAATAATTGGAACCGGTTACCGCCGCCCATTGTTGCTGCACAGACGGAGGATTGCCTCAAACGACTACTTGATGCACACCAGTTACCTATGCCGGGATCGTGTTGCTTCAGCTACGAGTGCAACGTCCTCTCCGGAGTTTCCGTTGCGCGGTGACGCAAGCATCCCAGCAATGATTGGGAAACGATGGAGCTAACAAGGGATCTCCCTCCTGCACTCTACTACCCAGGAAACCGATAAACCTACAATGAACTTGAAGTTACTTGACTAAGTCAGACTAGAGCACTAACATAACACTTACTTACGTTAAAAAAGTAAAAGCAAGCATTTAGAAATGGTTCGTACGTACGGGGTGCTTTATGGGCATGCACTGCACTATTGGCCTTGTTTTAAATGGCCTTGTCCGCCATTGCGTTTCTCGCGATTTTTGTGGAAATGTACGGCATCACTTTGTCTTCTATTTCATGAATTTGATATGACTGATTTGTTACCTTGCGATTCAGTACTATGTTTCTACGTACCACATGTTTTATTTTATGGTGGTTTTATTGTTGTCTTCGCTTTTATTCTACCTGTCTTTGAAAACAAACAATATGGCCTTGCTCAGCTGATCTAACTTTTGCCCAATTCAGGTCGTAACTTTTCACAATGATGAAGTGTCTCAGAGTAGAAGACGCATTATCATATTTGGATGAAGTCAAGGAACGTTTTGCAGGTCAAGGCGCAATTTACACTGATTTTTTGGACGTTATGAGGGAGTTTAAAATGCAAACGTGAGTGTCTGTCCTTTCGTCTCACTATTTTAGCATCGGCACAGAAGTCGTAATCCGACGTGTTCGGGAGCTGTTTGAAGGCCATCCGGATTTAATTGTTGGATTTAATAACTTCATCCCTCAGGGGTATAGGGTTGACGCACCGCCCTCCCGAATGAATTCCATCCTCGGTTGCAGCCGGACAACAGTGGCGGCTCCGATCATAGAAAGCGTGTCTCCTCCAAAGCAGCAGTCTACGATTACAGAATTTGGGGCGTCCACAATCACACTTTCTCCTGCTTTTAGCCATCATGACTGCGTTAACAGAGCTACCGTCAATCCGCCTTCGGTTTGCGTTACTGCACCACTAACGGACTCCCAGTCGTTTCGGACTAATAGTAACTGCGGGCCCCTCGAAACGTCGCATTTTGCACCGAATGCGCATACCCTTTTTGGGTCCGGTTTTCAGGAGAATATACCAGGTTCGGTTTTTCGCGGATCCTTTTCTGCATCATCAAGTGTGGCTCCTCACTCCGTGACGGGTACCAATATTTGCCAACAGCAGCAACAAGCACAGTCCTTCCACCATGCTCTGCATTACGTAAACAAGATAAAAGTAAGTCCCACTGACAGTAACCCTAATTTTGCTCGTCTGTGAGATGCTTAACTGCTGGTTTCCTGTCAGAATCGATTCCAGGGGATCCCTGATGCTTACAAGCGGTTTCTGGATATCCTGCAATGGTACCAGAAAGAACAGCGGCATTCCGACGCGGTTCGGCGTAAGCTGGCTGAGAAACAAGTTTATCAAGATGTCGCTAAGTTGTTTGATGGCCAAGAGGACTTATTACAGGAGTTTAGCCAGTTCCTGCCTGAGTCGACTAATGTGACTAACGCTGTGGTAGGTCCCTTTGTTACGATAACAATATTATTTTAAGACTGAAAATTTTGTTGGTCGACGAGCTTCAGGACAGATGCAAAGCAGCCCCAGCATCCCTTCTCCAGAAGTGCATGTCCCTGCTCCTCAAATTATCGATCGTGTTTCTGAGGGAATAAGTCTTGCACTTTCCTGTAGGCAGAAGATCGACTCGCATACGCAATTACCAAGTATGGATGGCAAAAGGTTGAAACGTCTTGCTCCTGTCTCCGCTGCTTCCTCCATATATGGCTCAGCGAACGCCACCAAAAAATCGCGTTCCGCAGTACGCGATGTCAGCATTACAGAAATTAATCAGCTTGCATCAGGACTCGATGTTTCTTTGCTACACAAGGTGAGTCCCTCAGTCAAGTCTCCATTTTGCCACCACAGATTCGACTGGCGCTGGACGCTGACGGTGGGCGGTCCTATCAGACCTTTTTACAGGTGTTAAGTTTCTATAACCGCGGTATCATCTCTGCTGAGCAGCTTGTGGAATCCGTCCGACCTCTTTTTCCCCGTCACGTTGACGTTTGGAGACGATTTTGCGATATAATAGCAGTAAGCTTAAACCTTTCCAGTTGACACTGCCGTTCTTGTTTGCGCATTAGTCGTCTGCTTTTACTCATCCTTCGCCTGTATAGTCTAAATCACCATTACCCTCTTTGCGCTTTCATCATATATAGCATATCATTCACATAATTCTACACATCAGCTAGTGGTGACAGACACCCCAACTGTTGTGCCACAATGCAAATTAATTAGATGAAAGTAAAAACAAAACAAAAACGGCGATAGAAAAACAACTATTATTAAGCTTTGTTCTACATTGTACGTTAACGCCAAGATCGTGGTTTGAGAAGCATGCTGAACGGGATGGGGAATAGCAAAGCTCACAACACGTGCGTCTTGTGATCGGTTTTTCTATCAGGTGTGTTCAACCAAAGGTGCTTATCGTTTTTGGTAGTTGGCAGGCACCAACCGAGGCCAAATACGAAGTGAGCGTTTTCGTTCCCCTTGTCCAAATCATCGCTTAATCGTCCTATCAGACCCCGGCCGCGAAAACCACACATCACGGGAGTCGACGTGCTGACATGCGTAACACGATCCAGTCATTGGGAGTCTAGTGTTTTAAATAACCCATGCATTATACACAGCTACAGGTGAGAATCACCCTAGCTATTGTGTTGCAATACATTGCACTCAAGTAGCAGTAGACAAGAAAGCATTTCAACAATAATGGATCAAAACCAAGAATGTTGTGCTTTATGTTTTGCATTAACCATATCGTAGTTGGAGGGCAGGTTAAGTGCGATGGTGCAGGATAAAAAAACACGGACGCCACTGTGGCCGATTTCTCGCCTTGTCGACGAGTGTAGCACATCAAACATGTTGACCATGAGACAAGAGTGCTGAGTTGTTCATTTTCTCTTTCCATGTCGTTACACGGTACCGGACACGCTGTTTGCTCATGTGATGTTCACACTAGACGTGAGCTAAATTGCGGCTAGTTGCATGTAACGTGCCTCTTTACGTCTCCATTTGACGGCCTAGGATTCACAACCCTACAGGAGAGTTGAACGGATGGTTGTATTATAGGCTGCTCTTAAGAGCGCAAACAACTGTCCAACTAGTTGTATCCTAAAAATTTTTTAACTTCCACAGTGGGTCAGCACAGAGGGCGGTCCATGCCAATCTTGGAGGAAGGCTTTGCATTTGAGGGATGCCAAACGCACGCCGAAACGGTTGACAGTCAGCGCTTATTTGTCCTGTGCTAATTAGCACAGGACAGCACAACTTGTGGTCATATCGTCAGCATACTCCAAGTCATAAAGTCCACCATTTGGATGCAGCTATGCGCCAGTAAACGACGATGTCCAAAATGAGAGTTGACAGCGGACAAACTTGTCTTACACCGCTGGAGATATTCAAGGGGGCGGTAGCTTACCGTAAACCTTCACCTTGCCTAAACTACGCGCGTATCGCGCTCCTATAAAATTTCTTGTGCATCATCCCTGTCTCAAAGGACACGTCAATCCATCGCGTCGAAGTCCCCCTTGGTGTCAAGGAATAGGAGTGCGGTGCGTCGCAGAACTTTGTGGCGATACTCCAATAATTGACGTAAAGGTCTGACCAATACAGCACCGCTTTCGACGATACTTTTTATCCTCTTCACTAATCTGTGAAGGACGATAGAGGCAAGTAACATGCGATGGAGATCAGACACACATACTTGTCGCATTCCGAACATGACACTCCCTTGAATATCGGGATAATAACCGAGCAGCTGCAGTCGGTTGGGACAATTTTCAAGTTTCTCCAATAGATCCTGTAACTTCCACAAGTGGTGGCTGAGGAGCATTCATCTGCTCCCGCGACCTTATTCAACCTCAGCAATCCAATCACCTTCGATTTCTGCGCGAGATAGTGGCTCCAGAGGCAGACAGCCCCAGGGGTAGAGCGCTCACTGGTCGACAACGAATCTGGTAGTTCCGATCGATTCCATTGCTTGTTGTTCGGCCTACTACTCCCACTGTTTTTTGTTAGGATGTGAATAGGCTGTTTCCTCTCATCGCATACATTTTCACTAACCTGGTCTCTTCCCGTTTTTCGTATCAGATGTAATAACTTCCGATGGTTACCAAGGGCAGCAGTCATTCCTTTCCCCGATCCACAGTTAGACCACCAAGCTTCCTGGTCTCTCTTCAGGCTAGCACAGCGTTTTACCATAAGGTCTTTGCGTCTCGTGTTCGCTCCCAACCGGAATCTGTTGGCGAACATCCATAAGTTCCAAACTGCGTGGCGATCCACTGTGTAGGCTACCAATTTGCTTTTCTACATGAAGACTCACCTGCTGCCCATAAGGTTTATAGAACATGCGACTAGTGACCATATTCAATAAGCGCTTACTCAATCCGAGTGTCACGTACTTTGATACGCGCTGAGAACTGGCATCACCAGTTGGAGGGTGTCTATGCGCTGCTAACTCCGGTACGAGTGTCGGCCAAATTGCACTTAGAGATCGGCGCATACTAGTGCATGGCTGGAATCCACGCTTGTGCTCCGGTTTGCTCGGCAGTTCTAGACACCGTCTCTCCAACGTTAACTGGTGAAGATATGGCCGATTTGCGTCCATAGTTGATCCGAAACTAGTAGGCGCCATGTCACCTATGAGTGCAGTGTCAGAAATTAGTGCTCGCGAGAAATAGACGAGCATCTTCACACAGGTTATCGTTATTGGAGCATTTGCCGTGTCAGTGGACTACTTCTTAACTTTCGCTTTTAGATCGTCAGCCAGCACCATGGTATCCATAATCCTGCTGTGACAACGGAGCTTGTTCAATTGCCGATGAAAGTTATCCTGCACTGAGTCATGCCCACTTTTTATAAGCATAAACAGTAGTGACAAACTGGCCCCCATAGCCCCCGTGCGACTACGAAGCTCAGAATAACCAGCCAGTCAGGCTACCCCTTATTACTAGTTGGAATCTAATCGACCACAGCAATTCGTGGGTGCTGTTAGCGTCGCGTGCGGAAAATCGTAGAACGAACACTCTGCATAACACGAGTGACCGAAAAATGCTCGCCAGAGTGACCATTAGAGTGACCGTTTTCTATGCTCCTGGTCGTTCTAGTTGGACACAAGATAAATTACGATCACTCGGAAAAGTTTCTGGCGCGCCCTAGCATTTACCATAAATGCGTTATTTTCTGGTTTCAAATACCGTCAACAGTAGGCGGAAATCGATTCTCAATTTGCTATTACATAATACTTGAGTCGTAAGGCTAAACCGAAATTCGTCCCAAATGTGTCCAACCGCCAGGAGCATAAGGAAGGATCACTCGCACTGTCTGTATTTACGAGTTTATTAAATACTTTTAGGCAAAGAAAAGCGGCCTTAAAGACGCATAATAGTATTCAGCAACCTATCTGGACATATTGCGCTATTTGTTTTCATGTTTGCCCATGCGATTGAGTAAAAGCACGCCCAAACGGGACGCCTGGCCGTCCATCTGTGCAGATAGGGACAGAGCTAAAGTCTTGCAGCCGTGTTTATGATGTGCAGCAGATGCCCATCATTATCAATACATGTTAGCTGAGGGTGAGAAACACACCTCAGCTAATGTTCCGAAATACAAAAGATAAGATTCTAAACATTGCATAATACGAGAAAAAGTAATCGATCTGATGTTAGGAATCATATTATGCATTGGATATGATATCGTTGTTCGAGAGCAAAGCTAAAGGTGATAGAGATGATCAAAGAAGTTCACAACACAAACGCAGTGTCACAAAGTGTACCCAACCAGACGTATTCATCATCCTTTGAGCCCCTGTCCAGCATTCGAGATACACCTTATGATCTCTACTCTTCGGGCAATTGCTGTTTCTTGACAGACCTGTAACAAAATGCACATTTTGAGGCATGCCAGTTTTCGCTAGGATCTAGTGTTCGAGATAAAAGCGGACGAATTAAGTTTGTTCGCTTGATTGGACACGAACTTGTCAGCAGCATAGTACTGACGATCCGCGATTGTGTGCGAGTCGAAAATATAGGGCAAACGCCTATCAGTGCAAGGTGAGGAAGCGTTAAGCATTGGAGTTGAAAACAGAGGAGTAAATCAAATTTAAAATGGAACGATAAAGATGAAAAGCGTAAGGAGGGAACTAAGAATACGGAGTCTTAGCATTCGCATCTTCATTCGTTCGATGCAGCGGATAGCGCGCCGTTGATTATCTTCTGCGACAGCCAGAACATCCAGCACTTGATTGAAGAGATGTTCATGGTATTGCTTGGCCATGAGGTTGCTCAACCAAAGTCTTGTTCAAAAACAAGTTTCAAGGCAGCGGAAGTTCGGTAGTTAGCGAGCGACCTACTTTTATGGTTTTCCTTGACTTGTAAACCGCCTTTGACTCTGTTGACCGCACCTGCTTGTGACACTGTCTATCCATGAAGGGCATGTCCGCTAAACTCATGTTCATTCTGAAGTCCCTCTACTGTGATTCGCGATGCCGTGTAACGGTCTACGGGAAACTATCTCCTGAGTTTCCCACCACAAGTGGGGTTCGCCAGTGTTGTCCCATATCTCCTTTCCTCTTCAACTTTGTGATCGAAATGCTCATGAATGACTCGGTTCTTCCAGACTATTCTGGAGTGGAAGTTTTGCCAGGCGACCGACTGACAAACCTGGAGTATGCGGACTACGCATCTCTCCTAGGGTCTGATGCATTGGCTAGCTAAACACTACTGCACAGACTTGTGCGTAGCGCTGCACGGTTTGTCGTGTACTTTGCACCTTTAAAGTGCTGTTGCAGGACTGGGCTGATACACCTTCGGTTTTAGCAATTTCTGCACAGCCACTGGAAGTGGTGGATCGGTTCACTTACCTTGGTAGTGTGTCACCTCTGGTGGTCTTATCACTGAGGAGGTTACTTCGCGTATCCGCATGGCCCGTGTGGCTTTCCAGAGACTTAACCATCTATAGAGACAGTGGGATATCAGCTTGTCAGTGAAAGGTATGGTGTATAACGCTGCGATAAGGCCAGTGTTACTGTATGG